CAACTCCAAAAGTTATTCATGCAGAAATGATCGTCACATGGGGGATGGACGGAACAACAGGACAGTCACAGTATAACCAAGGAAAAACAAATTCAAGAAATCAAGAACGAGATAGAACACAACCGAATCAAACGACTAATAATGAAATTATAGAAGACAAATCACTATTGACAGTTAGTATGAGTGTTCAGCAACTACGACATGAAGACGAAAACGGAAATTATATCTGCTTATGGGACAACGAAAACAGTCAATCTGTATACTCAGTACGACCAATACAACTTGAACATGCCAAAGAAACCAGAGTAAATGTTAGAAGGATATATGAAGATATAAAAAATCAAATATCAAAACTTGAACCACAGAGATTCATATGTGAAGACATGCTTTTGGAAATTACGTACAAATTCTACCCCACAATGTTAGATGGAAAAGTTTACACAGACCTTACAGAAACATCAGGATATTGCAGATGTCAGCTTTGTAGATCTGGACCAAACGAGATGAGTGACATAAATAATCTTGATAATGGAAGATTCGAAAAAACACACAGAAAATTTGTTAAAGAACACTTGTATTTCAACACTCAGCCACTTCATACATCAATGAACGTACTCACGACTCTATATGATTTGTCATATAAACAATATGTTCAAAAACACTGGCTGGAGATAACTGAAGAGGAACAGATTGTTTTAGATGTTGAAAAGGCTAGAATAAAGCAAGCAATGTGGGATGCATTTAATGTTCGTGTACTCGAACCAAGACAAGGGGGAGCTGGATCATCAGATACAGGAAACGTTGCAAGAAAAGTTCTTGAAAATCCAGAGCTTCTAGCTAAAACTCTATATCTTAATGAAGAAATAATTAAACGTATATGCTATGTGCTAAACCAAATTCGAAGTTTAGAACCAGTTGATGATCTAGATGAATTTGATAGGTACTGTAAAGAAACATACAGAATGTTTTTGACAACATATAGTTGGTTCAAAATACCAGTAACACTTCACAGAGCACTTGCTCATGCAAAACACTACATGGAAGCCTTACCATTACCTCTAGGAAGAATGAGTGAAGAAGCCGGGGAGTCACAAAACAAATATCTCAGACAAGATAGAGAACTACGTGCCAGAAAAACTTCAAGAATACACAGTTTTACGGATGTTATACATAGAAGACTCTACAGTTCTGATCCAGTAATAATAAAAAAATATATGGATGTAATAAATAAAAGGTTAATGAGAAAAAATGTCCAAGAAGAAGGTGAAACACCTGAGCAACAAACAGAAAATGAGGAAAAAGATGAGGAAGAAATTGAATTGATTGAGCCAGAAGGAGAAGGTTATGACTTTTCCCAAGCAGAAAACTATGATTATTCCGAAGGACAAGACCATGAATATTCTGAAGAAGCAAACAACGAATGAATAAATAAATTTCATTAAATATGATAAAAAAATGTAAATTAAATTTCTTGACAAATAAACAAAATTTCATTAAACTAAAAATTAAACTTTATTAATTTTACCTATTATAGTTGCGTATCAGAGTATTTTTTTTATTACTCTAATGATAATAGCTTTTTTCAGACTTAACATTTCTTAAAAAAGTCCAAAAAATACTCGAGATTGCTTAAAAGTGGTATTTTTGAAAATGCAATTTTTGGGAATTTTTCAAAAACTGCGTATGTCACAATCAACAGCCCTATAAATAACCAGGACTAAGTTAACTAGCAAGTATTATATATCGTTGGATAGGTATTACATTAGGCTACAATAATCCGAAAACAGAATTAAAAAATATTTTTTCAAAAAAAAGTTATAGTGGTTTAAGTAGGGTGACAAATGGCCAAATCGATGGAGAGCACATACCCCCTATATCTCGAAAGATTTTGAAGTTTTTGAAAAATTTTCTTCACAAAATCATTTAAATTGTTATTTTTCATAAGAAAACACCAAAAAACAATTTTTAAAACTATGTTTTCGTATTTTTAAAAGAATTATTAGTTTTTGGCCAAATACTCAACGACCTACTAAAATCAACATAACTCAATTACGTTAGCTTACTTTTTCAAAGTTTATACAGTTTTGAAAACTAGATATATGGGGCTACAAAACTGCGTTTTTACTTGCCTGGAAACTCTTCATTTATGATAGTTGCGGCTTGTTTGAAGATAATTTTCCTGAAATTTTCACATATGTTCTACCATAATGGCACGAAAACATTCAGAACCTAAACTTTGTTATATGTCAAAATAAAGCTCTTATATACTACTAATAGGAACTGAAAACCGTTTTGCAATATCTTAAACCAGTTAAGATATTTCCCGGTTCAAACATGGTATGAAAAAACCAGAATTTTCACTAGTTTTCAACTTCAAACAGCTCTAGAATCGCGAAATCAGCACCAAATGACCTGAAATTTGGCATTTCTATCTACTTTTATGTCCTCTACAAGAAAAAATCACCCAAAAAGTGTAAATCGGAAAAGTCCATTTTTCAAAGTGAAAGTCCCTTTTTTTTTCATTTTGCCCCATAGTGGTATGTGACTGTAGGGTATGCTAACTGAGAATGCTGAGCTCACACATTGTTTGAATAGGAAATTAAATGAAAAAGGGTTGCAAACTCATGGATTCGCTTCGATTTAAGAAGCTTTGAATATTCATTTATTATTTGGATGATCTGAGTTGCTAGTCAGTTGATTACCACGAGTAGTTGTCTACCTTTCATTTTCAAAGCAGTTTGGCTAAGAAAGGATTGAATGAAAATACAAAAACTTTTCAATTTTCCGACTCTTCAATAAAAAGCTTTAAAATTGAAAAAGAGAATATAGAATCTAGCTGTTGGCGCACACTTATAATATATGTGATGAAAGGGAGTTAACATTGTATAATTACCATAAATATTGTTTGAAGGAACAAGAAAAGAAGAGTCACTTAAGTACAATTTATCACGAATTTTTATCACAAATGCCTAATACACATTTATTTAATATATTATTCATATGTGCATTGGAAGAAGCAGAAAACAGGCAACAAGCATCCCATATTTTTTCTCATCACGAGAGATATTATCAGCTGCCAATTATTTATTGAATTTCTTCAATCTTGACAGCAATTACATGAATGAATATAAAACTTATTTGCATTGGCAAAGTATATGTTCCTACTATATTTACATTCACGTCGATCTCCGTTAAGATTAGAATTATCTACAACACTTTAAACGATGTGAATGCATCAACGAAAACGAAGATGATCATCGTCAGGAAGTAATTGTTACAAAAAAGAATCCATTTACCTCCTGGCGTTTTGGCATGCAATATCTCATTCTCACACAATTTTTTGAGAATATGAGTCAATCTTTTCTTGTTGCTGCTTCAATAAAAAAAATCATGTACATTTTTAATAACACAATAAAGACATTATGACCTTTGGTAAATCTCTGCTTTTGAAATGGAATGAATGAAGAGGAATTTTAGGGAGCATACAAAAAAAGAATATATAAATCTGATACTTTAATCCATTGAGCTTTGATTTCAATCTTTTAATTCAATTATTTCAATTATTAGTAATTTGCGCAAGCTAGTTTTTTTGTTAACCATCCCGAGCAGCATAAATAAATCTGAGGCTATAGTTTGGCAACTTCTTGATTACTGCTAATAAGAGCTAATTTTGTAGCTTTTAAACTTTGTTGTTGATTTTTTTCATAACATGTATGGTCATAAAACTATCATTGTGGCTCGGACGTAGAACTGCTCATTCATAGAACTACAAAAGATTTATGTGTGGGACGTGATTCATCTAAAAACACTTTGGAATTACGACAATTTCCTTGTTCCTGATAAGTTCATAAGCTTAATTTTTACTTTATTTTTTTTTTTGAGCATACGAGTTTTAATGAACAATCTCCTTTATGGCCTTTTTTTTTCTCTCGATTTTCTGTGTTCCTTTCACAAAAAATTTCTTTCATCGATCTCACTTTGACACACAAAAGAGTCTTCTTGTTTTTATCGAATATCACTTTATTATCGTTATTTAATTCAACCGATTGTCTTACAAATTCTTTTCACGAAAAAAGAGAAATTGGCAGTATACAAAAATGTCATAGGTTGGTTATGTCTTTAAATTTCTTCTCATAAATTTCCTGTATCTCTTGTGGTGAGAATATCATGTTTTATTCTACTAGGGTTGGAAATTTTTGAGGCTTGTATCCTATTACGGAAATTTATGGTTATAATTATCGATTTTAATCAATTTAATGGAATCTTTATGTTTATTTTAAGATTGATTTTCTTGGATTGTTGATAAGTTGGATAGATTGAAATTTTGAGTAATGATCTGGGTGTGATTCAAAAATGACTGACCGATAAGAAGGTTTTGGGCATTAATTTGCGTTATAAAGAGTCATATAACAAACATTCCCAGTTACCAGAAAGTTAAAAACAAGGATCAATCAATAAAGACTAAAGCTTCCTTGAACCAATTTTTTAACAAGCTATTTATTGATACAGTAAAATAGTTTTAAGAGATTGACAAATCAGGTCGCTAGTACTATCAAAATCAGGCGAATAGTTCAAATTTTAATATTATTAGAAATAAAGACTTTCTGAATCAAGTTGGTAAGAGGAAGAATAATTGTTCCTCCAATAGTTTAGACTAGATCAGAAGAAATTTAAAAAGCTCAAGAATCCAAAAAATAAAGATCCTACTCGATTATATTTCAGAGGGAAAAGACAAATCAAACAATTTGCTTATCCTAACATTCAAACTTCACTTTGACTAAGACATCAGAATTTATTTGACTCATTTTAATATTCTGAATTCCTTCAAAATTAATATTTCAGCGTCATCTTTACATGAAATTCAACTCTTAATTCCAAAAAAATATAAAGTAAGTTAATCTGCACTCGCACGAACAGCATGTCAAAAAGTCTATTAAAACACTCAAATCTGCAGAACAAAAGTTTCCATCTCTAGATGTTATTATTAATTCATATCTTACCAGAAAGGTGTGCTAAGATGATCATTGTTACGAATAAAACAATATATTTTGCCATATTATTATCTTTTTTGTGTGTATTATTTGCTTTTTATAAATTTCAAATTATTTTTTATGTGAAGGTATAAAAAATGAAGATTTATACAACACGAAGATGCTTAGAATTATTAACGGAAATTGCCAAATAATAATTCCTTAATGAAATAGAACAAAAGAAACTATTTTTTTTTTTATATTTCGCACACTTTTATGCTTAGTCTTAGTTCTCAACAGTCCCGAGACTCCTTATTTATTATTTTTGCGATGTTATTCGCGTTCGAGACGATCGTGTACTGAAGCTTTTTCTAAAGAGAATCAAGTGTTTATAGTATATTTTTTTCTTTCTGTCTCGCATCACATTTTTTTCTCACATTTTGTTGCGATTTTTCGTAATTATTTTAACGATGTGTGATCCAACTGTTCTTTAGTGCGTGCTGATATACTATTTAGTGTTCTTGGTTAGAGATAAAAGGGCTTATTCAATAAAATAGCACTGTAGAATATTGCGATTTTCCTTTATTTCTGTGCTCGAACTTACATGCGTGCAAATCAATGCAGAAATCTGAGAATTTCATTTTCTCAGTTTTTTGGGGTCATTTGTAAGTGACGTTTGTGGATAAATGAAATTGAATATTTAACAGGTCCTAAACTTTTGACGTTTATCATTTAAAGATGATCTGAAATCTTATAACTTTTTGATTCATTTTAAAAAGAAAAAATTGTGACAAGGGGGGGGGGGGGGAAGGGGGTCGTTTGGAAATTACATTTTTTTGAAATTATGACGGGGAATAAGAATCAGTTTTTATAAACTCTTTGGGTGCTTTTAGTGAAAACCTAGTCAGGAAATCTTAGACATTCTTTGGTCAATACATACAGAATCCTACAATAAGTCTTCAGAATAATAAATCATCAATAACCTAATACTGAATAATCAATATTGAACTGAATGACACCCCTCAAAATATAAAACGTCATTTCTGTAAGTGACCCATCAACTGATTTCTGCCTTCTGAAGCAGATTTATGTAATTTATACCTTGTTATTCCAATGTATTATATATTAAAGTAAAAATTGGAAACAGAATTCTCTGAAATGAAATGAAATACATATTCACAAGAATGAGAGGAAGGAATGAACCAATTAGTCCGTTACGAGATGAAAAAAAAAACATTTAATTCTTTTTTAAATTCATTCACCTTTCAAAATAATAAACAGAAATCCGTTAAAAAGTTTAAATTTTATTCACCACAAGCTTAAACATTTAGAATTAATGTTCACTATCTTATAATAACATATCTAATAACAAGAATGGGAATTAATTTAACAAAGAATTCTGAGTTGTATGTTTGCAAACATTTATGAAGGAAGGAATCAAAATGTTTATTTACTTTAATTATATTATTATTATTATTCATTATTATTGTAATCACTGTACACATATATTGTATTGAAGCCTTAATGAATTGTTTCTCATTACACAGATGATTTGTTCCTCTCACTCAAGCTGTATATAATTGGTTTATACATAATCTTGTAAAAGTGTCAAGTCATTAGATATCAAGTGAGTCAGTGACTTAAAAAGTGGCATTCGAAACACACTCGAGTATCCAGACGAAATGGGAGAGAGATGAGACAATAAAGTATGTAATGTATACATCATCATTCAATTATTGTAAATTATTTTTTATTACACGGGAGATGTGTCTACCTATATGTAATGATACAGATTTATTCTCCGACACATATAGTATTTTAGCTATGCTTTTATAAAGAACATGTGCTTATCTTGGTTCACTATGACTTTTATTGGTTGCTTCTGCTTTTCGTCTTTCTTTGTACAATTCTATTGCTGGGTAAAATTAGCTGAATAAGCTGAAGTTTGCTAAATTCGCTGAATACCTTCTTTAAATTATTCTCATTAATTTTTAATTGAAATAATCAATGCAACATCTTAGAGACACTTAAAGACAATCAATCTCAAAATAACAAGCTTCAAGAAGCACATTATGTCACTTACTACTCATAACTCATTTCAACTGCATTTATAGACCATTCTCATTACAGTGAATTTGCTGAGAAATGTAAGCTTCAGTCATGATTGTCGCATTGAAGAAGTATGCAATGAAACAGAATCACTCATGACTTATAAGCGATAAAGAGAAAAGCAAAAAAAAACTGTAGAATAATAAGTTGAAGTGAAATCTCATCGCATACTTTTTTTGTTCTCTTCTATGCTGTTTCACATTCAATTGAGAATCACATTTTGTTGCTAGATGTGAGATGCCATAAAATGTTGGAATGATGGATGAATGATAAGTAGTAAAGCTCACAACATTGTGACAGTTTACATAACCGATGATACACGAATTAATTAATTGAGACCACCTTTAGAATTCTACACAATAAACATATCGGATTGAGTTAAACGCTTCGGCATTAGATACTAATTTAATGCTTAGGGTGTCGTTAAGATGTGATGTCCATTTATGGAACTTTATGATACTCGATGGAATTGAAAGTAGATTTTTTTTAAAAGGATAGAACAAAAGCTACTTTACAGGGTGAGGAGACATCATTTATGAACTGACCCCTCACAAATTTGCGTTTTATTGATTTGTATGTTCTTTCTATAACTCTATACGAAAAATGGTTCCCTAATGTGATCATCATAAAAATTGATTTTTATGGCTCTTAAAATTTATATTTTCTGTGTATTTCAAGTTCTCTTGAGCAGGTCAAAAAGCTATTCTTATAAAGATGTGAGATTTGCGAAACCAATGAAATACATCAATAGTTTAGGCTTCCTGTACATCGAACAAAAAATAATAATATGAATATCTTTGATTGTCATGAGAATGTTCTTTCAATAAGTTAATAACACTAAAATATTCTACAATTAAGCTTTAAAATCACTTCCATCTCTCGTTTGTTCTGTTACGGTAATATTTAATTAATTTTTTCTGCTCTTTCTCGTGATTATCTCAGACAAATATTTAATTGCTTTAATATTTGCGTGAAATTTTGAAGTTTTTGAGATGAATTAATAACTTTTTCAGTTTAAATATTATTTGCTTCGGGATTCATACTTAAATTATGTCTGGGCTACAATACACTAGGAATTAAATTCAATGTAATACAATATCAAATTTAGAAATATCATTTCCGAACAATTCCTCGCATGTAAAATTATCGTTTTATCTTGTGTTCCTACCACATGCTGATTATTGATTATCTTTAAAGTAATTTTCAATTGATCGAAATCACGTGTAAATAAATTCTTGCATTTATTAGATCAGAATTGCAACGATAATTCATAAATTTATCGACATGTTGTGCATCAATTTTACGATTGAATGTTAATTTCATTGCTTATTACTGCTTGTACCTTAATTTATTTTTTTTAATAGGAAATGAAGCAGGATCGATTAATCATTAATTCCATGACGGAGCATTAAGAAATTTTACTCGGAATTAAAGCAACTGCCGTTGTTGTAGTTGTTATTTTCGGTGTTGTGCTTGTCAGATTTGCCGACAATGTTGTGATGTTCGTGGAATTTGAAGAAGGCTCATCTGTTTTTGGCATAAATTGTATAAAAATTACCATATACGTTGTAATGCTTGCAATCATTGTCTTAAGGAACATAAAATCCATTTCAAAGAATCCAGATACCGAAAATATTAATGGCTCATGGAGAATTTGAAGAGAAAAGTTTTCCGTTAAGGTATTGATTCGTTCATCGTCAATATCTTTTTCAATATTATGCAACAAAAAGCCGATATATCGGACTTCTTCCAAACATACTTCACATGACTTTAGGACCATTATAACGACAGTTAAGATTGGGATGATCTCGAATACAAGTTCTGTGAAAAAATATGTTTAAATTTATTGTTAAGTGGATTGAAAAATGATGTAAGGGTCAATTCACAAATGATGTCTTTTTAAATTTATACATTACCGTGCCTTTTTGATGGCTGTGCAGATAATTTAACAAACGAGCATCCTTAATGACATCTAAGGCTCGTCTCCCTCTCACCTTGTCACAAATATTTCACCCTCGTACCTCGTAATTGTTGGACATCATTTATGAACAAACCCAAGTGTAATTATTCCATGTGACGAGAAAACTCATTCAAAACATCTTTTGATGGACAAAAAAAGAGGACTAAAAGTTAAATGCGCAACACTTTGAAGGGATCTGAAGCTGAGTTCCTTTTATACATATTTGAAGACATCATTTGCAAACAACCCCACATCCAAAGACTTTATTTCTCAATAAAAACTTACCTAATAAATCTTCGAAATTGTTATAATACAGAAAGGAGTATGTTGAATAGAGCAGACACGTCAAATGTATAAAATTCTGCAATAAATTTGCAAGTTGAGAGAATCCGAAGCTCCTATTTATCAGCAATGATGTTTCCCATAAAATATTGTAGACCTTTTTTATGGAACTTATTTTATCAAAAAGGCCATCATAAAATGTAGAGTTCTTTACAATTAGTTGATTGCCTTCCAACTTTGTTAACTTTACAATGTCCTCTAGTTCATTTTTTATGATTCTAAAGCGGCATGAGAGCACATTAATAAATAAGGAGTGCTGTAAATGTCGAAAACGACTAATTGTCAATGATAGAATACAAATGCACCACATATATGTCCAGTCTTCATCATCTGCAATTCTGATAATTACACCAAGTTCCAACAATATCGTCATTAGTATGTAGCCAGTGAGTCTTATTGAGATGTTCTTGTAGAATTTCATTATAATTTCATTAAAGTCGCTGACCATACCTTTGATTAATTCATCTGCTGACGCTACATTTTTCCAAATATGAATAAAGTTACTTCGAACTATTAAAGACTCAACAATTGTGACTGCATGTGTAAGCATAATTATTGAGAATGTAAGCACATTGTTAACGTTAGCTAATCCGGGATTAGCGAAGAATTTCTTAACAGTAATCTCTGTTGAAACTCCAACTCCAATTAATTGTACAACTGACCATATAATAAGCATAAAAGTTATGCAAAAATGCTTCTTCTTGCTAATTAAAATCGGACACAGTCCCGAAAATCGAAAGAGAAGCAAGAGTCCATTGAAAATTAATTGCCAATTAAATTTGATATGTTTAAGCATTTTTCTACGAACTGAAAAATTACATTCGACACTAACCAATGACTTTACTTTGTCGAGTGCTCAACTGTGATTTTTCTTTACCATTTATTTCATTTTATAAGATTGATTAATTACATCTTTGACCACTCAAATTAAAATGAACAATTGTTAACATTAGTAAATGATTAGTAAACATATCTTGTATGGTCAGACATAAATCAATTGCCTGTTTTTACCAGTTTTACATTGAATCAGTGAGAATTGCTCAGAAAGAAACATTTGAATTGGATCATTCTGGAATGATGTACATCAAAAATTAAAAGGAAGACAACATGATCTACATAGGGGTTAAAATATTTTCAAAGGAATCAGACAACTTAATTGTAAAGTTTAACAATCCATAGATCTTTTCCTCTTAAGTATTACAAAATAAAAAAAGTCGTTTTTTTTGCGTAACGTAATAAGTGAACGACCTCTTTAGAAAACTCACAATTATAGACACCTTCATTCTATCTATTAGAAAACTTGAAACCTTAAAGGATAACTAGATCCAGGCTACAGATCCCCTACTGAATAGATTCTATTCGTCATTAGTGAACGGTCCCACATCCAAAAATATTGATAGTGAAGTCCTTTGTAAATAATTAATTAATTACATTCATAGGATAATGAATTTCTTGTCTGTTTAGTAATTTATTTGATTAATGATATTCATTATGGGCTGCATTTATTTTTGTGCTGATGACAGGATATGAATATCTTGTTGAATACCTTCTTCAATTCAATCATTAACTGCAAATTGAATATATTTGTTTTGGCAATAACAAGGATGCTCTCAGGTGAATTAAGTTCAAGAACTTTTCAATTCCATCTACATGCTTTAATCGCTCAAAATGCAGTAATCAAAACTTCCATTCTTATTTCTTTTAACCATCATAAATGGTATCATGATTTAGTGCTGAAAGCTGTAATTTGGAATTCGAGATTGCTATTATACTCTTTTTTTTGTTGATCATCTCATTTCTTGTTTATTTGCACAAGATCCATTAAATTGTATTTTAGCGTTTCGCTTCTTCATTCTTTACAATTTGAAAAGGTCTTCTTGAATTCAATTAATTTTTTCAATTTTGTCCAATTTCGCATGCCTCTTACCACACTCGTGTCTGTGATTGTTCTCAGCATAAATGACAATAATTGCGAAATTCCATAGATTTGGTTTGTAAAGTCTTTGATTGATAGAAATTCAGGTTGAACTGTTTGTGTATTTACAAACCACTGGATGTAAGCTATTGTATGATATCTTGGATAATCAGATGATGATTCCTCTGAATTATTAATGGTTGATATTATCTACAACTTTGACTTTCCATGACCTCTAGTTCTTAAATTTGCTTAAGCTCAGACATGCTCGAGGTCCAGTAAAAATATCAAGAGCTGGTTGGCTATAATCCATTATATAAGTTGATATAGAAATTCAAGTAAGATCCTTAAAAAAACTTCACAAATTCATGGAATCTTAAGTTTCTAAAATTCTTGTTTTCAGACACAAACTTCATTCAATTGATGAACAATTAATTAATATCCACCGACTGATGACTCGGAATTCTTCCAATCACATGTACTCAGACGTCAATACACTCCTTAATGTCATTAAATTAGTAGATATACTCCAAACAACAACTTCACACTTTATTGAAAATATTGTCTATAATAAATCATTTCCGATGACTGGATGTCAGTTACATCATTCTCAGGGTCAATGTGGTGTCTGTCTAAAAATAAGAATTAAGAAAAAAAAATCTTCTATTATATCTAATGAAGTATCAAAGAGAGCAAACAGCGACAAAACTTAGCGTTAAAAAATTTCAAGTCCGATGATCGCTGAAGATGTAAAGAAGTTTTAAATAAAAGAAATAATTCTTAACATTGTTGAGCTGAGAATCGCCCATGCATGTACATTCCAATATGCCATTGAATAATTTTTTTTTATTACCAACAAGAGAACGAGGAGAAAAAATTTTATGGAAACAGATCTAACGGCAGTGATATTATATTTTGCGCGCTACTTCATGTCACTATGTATGGAAGAAATGATTGATTTATGGTGAAGAAAATTTACTTTAATATCTTTACTGCTTCCAGCATGAATATTTTTTTTTATTTTGGCAATTACTTACTTGACCTACATGTCGTTACCGTGATTATTTAAAGCCTTCCTACATCATTATCTCTCCGATTCACATTTCATCTGTCAGTTGTAATGGAAGGAAAAGAGATTCACACCGAACAATTATCTCTTATGTTGGTGCTTTCGCACTTTTGAGAACTCTGTTTAACTAGACATTTTAAAAACGACTGCAGAAATGAGATAATTGCACATATTTCCTACATTCTTGTCTAGTTTTATGACACAATGAGTTTAATTGCAATCTCTTTAGACTCAATGACAAAAGCATTGGCTTTAATGAGTCTTGCATCTTTAAGTACCTGATTAATGATTGACGGGATCATTTGGTTTGATGTAATGCACAAAAATACTTTTATTTTAAAAATTACAATAGTCCACGTGTTATTTATCGAGGGACTTCAACGCATTTTTGACGCAGCGATCAGTATTTGATAAGCATCAAAATGCGAATCAATAAGCAAACAGCTCTAAAATTATGCCTTTATCAAAGCACAATCTAGGGGCCGTTCACTTATTACGTTCGCATTTTAGGGGGGGGGGGGGGTGGTTTGAAAAATTGTAACAAAATGTAACATAGGGGGGGGGGGGGGTGAAAAAAGTCGGATTTTTGCGTAACGTAATAAGTGAACGGCCACCTATAAAAATCAATAATAATCTATCTGGAGTAAGGGGCTGTTCACTTATTACGTAACGCGAAAAAATGACTTCTTAGACCCCCCCCCCCCTCGTAAAAAAATTTGTATGAAAAAAAAATTTCCTTGTTTGAACCGTAACAAAATCTTAGACCCCCCCTCCCTCTAAAAGCGTTACGAAATAAGTGAATGGCACCTAAGCTGTTACAAACTTTTCATATTTAACCCATAACAAATGCTAATGAAGAGCTTCTTTTCTTATATTACTCCTTTTGAGTTTTCTTTACACAGCTTTGTTCAATTTGAAGTAAGACTAGACATGTTATTTAACAGTCACAATTATTAAGGAATAAAATTGTTACTGACTGGTTTCAAATCTATTATTTTAGAACAAGTTTCTATATTCGACTTTAAATGAATAGGAGTAGATTAAAACAAATGGAATATGTCTGAGCTTAAGCTATGGGCAAGATCAGAAAAAAAGGGAAAAAAAACTTTATATGCTGATTTCTCTGCTTGCCAGCATCCAATTTTACACGCTTTTATTTAACTCACACTGTTTGTATATTTGCGTCAAATCTTGTAATTGATTTTTCGACCACTTCTATTGCTCCAATCGAGCTCAAATTTTTTATACACACGTATTCCCGGTGACAATACAATATTTTAACACTTTAGAACCACACAAATGCTTAATTATAGTAAAATTTAAGTAAAACTTTTTTATATGGGAAAAAAAATCCAATGTCAATGATATGAAATTTTGATTTGTTTAAAATATTATACTTGTGATGCTCAAAAGTCATTTATATGATTCATTATAGTTTAATTATTATTACTAATTATTAATTATACTATAAATTGGAGAAGCTGAAGATTTTCTAGGAGGATGAAAAATTGACAAGTAATTTTTTCATGAATATCCGTAAGTGAAAATTTGAATTTTCAAAAAAACCGTTAATCACAAGTCCGTTACGAATTAATGCAAAATAACTATCAATATGCGATGTGCATTTAGCACACATAATTTGAGCATAAACTTATGCTGTTTTTAATGTATTCTAATATTTTTAACACTTCACCAATTTAATTAAATTGACTTCTATTTATTAACGGCTTAACGTAATGTTGCATAACATATGAATGACATTCATTGAATTTAAATTTGAAAAATCCGTTATAAATACGTTACATATAGATGTGATTTGCATCTTTATGTTATCCACACGTTATGTAGTAGGAATGGTACGGATAAATACAAAATTTAATTGAAGTAAGGACATTTTTAAAAGAGTTTCGTGAGTTTTCAGGTATGACTTAAATAATTTAATACGAATAAAAAATTTTGATAGTCTTTACAAATTACCCATTTAAAACTGGTAATCTTGTAAAACTGGAAAGTGCAACGAATTCGAGTTTAACACACCTGTAACCTATAAACTTACTGTAATCTATGAACAATTGAACGAAGCGGAGTTAAACGAAGTGAAGACTAATACTTCATGTAATCTAAAAACTGTAACCTCCTCATTAAGTCTGATAAAGTCAGTGTTGTAATAAAACAAAAGCTCCAAATTTTGGAAGTTGAATCGATTTACAGATTTGATAAGACTTAAAAGTAGAAAATAAAATACTATAAAAAAAAACTTTTTTAAAAAAGCACGCTTTTATTTTCGATTCCAGTGCACTAAAAAGGAGAAAATAATTTTTTTCTGAGAACTCAAATTTGATACAAAATTTTATGACTAAAAGTAAAAGCGTGGGGCGTTCAATTTTAACCATCTCTAGATTTTCTATAATATATTCACAAACCTAATGCTTGTGCAAACATATATGGATGATTTTTAATTGACACAAATTCAAGATTTTGGGATATATGCAAGAGCGCCCCACGCTTTTATTTTTAGTCATAAAATTTTGTATCAAATTTGAGTTCTCAGAAAAAAATTATTTTCTCCTTTTTAGTGCACTGGAATCGAAAATAAAAGCGTGCTTTTTTAAAAAAGTTTTTTTTTATAGTATTTTATTAATGATTTTTTCACAGGTCGATAATTAATTTCAGAAAGTTTGACTTTTTGTTTTATTTTTTAAAATGGCGACTTTAAGAGTTACCTTAATTAACAAATTAATATTTAAAGTAGAGTTTTTCATATGAAGGAAGCAAGTTGGTTGTTCAAGATCTTCACAAAAGTTGTAGATTTTGATATTTTCTATCAAAATATCGTATTAAGACTTCAAAAAACTGAATAGATTAAGTTAATTTAACTAAAACTCAATTTGTTGAATAAATCGCTTTTTAACCGAAAATATTAACTCTAATTGACTGAAAACAATTAATAAGTATCTAAAAAGTCATTTTCTATAGAAATTGTATCTGTAAAAGGCATTAAAATGAGTTAAATTAACTCAAAAACATTGCAATTTTAATTGAGCAACATGTTTTGCTCAATTTCGCTCAGAATTTCATAAGAATTTTGAATTTTTTAAAACCGTTTCAATTTTCATGGTTAATCTTTTTAACATTTTATGATTTTAAAGGCTTTCCATAAAGACTTTAATTTTTTTCTTTTGCAACAAGATGCATCTTATGTTTTGCTATAGTTTTACATTGAAAAATCATTAGAACAATAAAACAGCAAAAAGTTATATCTGGTTTTCTAAAATTCATTGTAACTTTGTTAATTAAAGTAGAACTTGAAATTTTTTTCAATAAGCTTAAGGAAAACCATATTTGCTACCTTTTTTGTGAACACAGCTAGTTCCTTAACTGTTTCCTTCATATGGAATTTTCAACCAAAACATTTAAAACGTTAATTAAGCTAACTTATGAAGCCGCAATTTTAAATTTTTTGGTCTAAACATTTACTGCCACGCATTTTTAATTCCTCAGTGAAAGAATTTTTAAGATTGGTTTATTAGTTGCAGAGATATTGCATTTGCAACATAGTGTAAAATCGAATTTCCTTAAAATTGTTCGTGACGCTTAGCACTTTAAATTAATTTTTTAACTATAGCACAATGTCAAAATGCCACTTGTTATATACCAAAATGCAGGTCCTGGCGAGAGCTTTTAGAAAAACATAAGCTGATCAGCATTATTTGCATTAAGGATTTAAAAATTGTAAATTATTGCTCAGCGTCACGAACAATTCATTTTTGATCTTGCCCTATATTTAGTTATACTGACGAGTAGTTACTGGTAATAAGCAACAATTTTGCATGAGGCTCGTTCAATGATTAAGTTTGTTCTTTGAAATACAAAATAAAAATCCAAAAAACCAATTTTTGTGCAAAATTTCTAGCTACATCATTAACGAACGGCTCTATAGATTTACAAGTAGTAAGTTATACTGACGATCGTGAGGATTATAGAATTTACATGAAAAATCAATTTTAATGCGATAAGTACCATATATCTGTCTAGTGAAAAGAGATGTATGTAGATTAGTCAACCGCTGGCAAGCCTTATAAGAGTGAGAATCAGAATCAGAATAAATATTCTATAAACTCTTAATTCTACTCAAAAAAGTCTCAGTCCTCATTTGTCTCGATTGCGATCAACATCTTAAAAATATTGACTCAAAGAGAACTGTAAAATAATTAAAAGTAGCAGCAGCCATAAAAGTGCATATAAATTTTTTTTGGACATCCCAAAAAAAAATAATGGGGTTCTTAATTCCGTTTGTGTTTTTAGTCTCGTTAGCTCATCTTTCTGGTAAGATAATAATCTAAAATTGGAATCTGCAATTTTGCGGATAAGTGATTGTAACTGAATTTGCAAATAAACGGCACGGATATTCAAAAATTCATTTGATTTCCTGACGATTATTTCTTAATGACTGCATTAATGATGCAAACAGGTTTTTGAGCCATTTTCAATGAAATCTTACAAGTAGTTTTATAAAAAAAAAGTTTGATGACTGCATTAGTGGGCTGTACGCTTATGCCGTACAATGTCTATGATGCATTTTTATGAACATTTGGTTTCAAATAAGAGATTCACAAATCTTTTATATGATATACGTCACTTTTGAACGGTATTTTTGAAGAAACGGATAAGTGGCTTCATACCTAATGTTCATACCTGTTTCAACATACTTTGAAAGTTAACTTAAGTTTACCGAAATAATTGCTTCTACTTCTAATTACATTCTCTTAATGACAATATCATTAGTTTCAATATTGCATGCTTGTATGATGATAAAGTAACATTTGTTCGGTTGATGATGAAGGATTGAAGAAGTCGAGGTGACTCTTTTTAAATGTCAAGTGGTGATATCCTTGTGATATATTCTAAAGATGGCAGATTGGGGATTGAAAGGTTTATAACCGATCATTATTGAACTCAAATTGTGCAAAGCAACATAAGGGTAACAGTACTAGATTGTTGTGAAAATCTGCCTCTTTCTTCCATGAATATATATGTGCAAGATTGTTGTTTAAGCTATGACTCTCTTCCATGAATATATATGTGCAAGATTGTTGTTTAAGCTATGACTCTACAATGATTCAGATTCGGAAAAAATGTTCAAAAATTCAAAAATAACATATTAATTAAACTTTATCTTTTAAATGCCAGATTAAAGATTTTAACTTAAGGCATATTCATTAAAAATATCTCGTTTCAATTTGATGTCTAACTCCAGAAATCTTTCATTTATTTTCAACAAAAATTTGTTTACAATTTGTATATGAAAAAAAAACTTCGATTTTCTCTACTTTAAGTTGTTATTTCCTTATCTTGCTAGCTGTTGTTAGCAAAATTATGCTTAGATCTGCATATTAAAACTACCAAATCAAAAGAAAACAGCTGATTAAGTCTTAAAAATGCAATTGAAATCTGAGTATTTTTACAAAACTTAAACTATTCAAAAGTTAAAAAGTCTTCCAAAGACCTCTCTTAAACCTATATAAATCAATTAATTAAGCTTAAATCTATCTCCCATATTACTGAGGACATGTCGTTTGATGCCGTTTTCGAGATATTTGCGATCAAAGTCTATATAAATTTTCATACAAAATTTGATCATGCACAATATTTTTTGATAAACTTTTACAAACTTTTGGTAAAAAATCATGTTTATCCTTTATACAATAAACGAAAACATTATGTAGAAGATGCTAAAAGAATCAAATCAAGAGAAATTAACAAAAATTTTCAATTTTCTAACGTGTCGGAAAAATATTGTGCACAAGGAATTTTTGAACATTTTTTCCGAATCTGAATCATTGTCGACTCTGGTGGTTTTATAGCCTTTATTAGCATGCACAGCTCGGGTATTAATTAAGCTGATAATTTATCACTTTTTGTGTTCATCAAAGATCGATAACATCTGAACTTAAAAGAAATTATCAAGACTGTTGGCACTTAAATGTCTCACATGTTAATACGTGTAATAATGAGAAGCATTTATGTATGAATTATAGGTTCTTGTACACATAATTAATTTACATGAAAAGACAATCATAATTATATTATATTTATGTGATGAGCATGAATAATTTATGAACTGTTTATCATGGGAAATTGTTGAAATTCCAAAAACGACTGGATGAACTTTGAAGATTTAAAAATCAATGCTTGATGTCTAAATTTCAGGCGAATCTTCTTCACGCATTTGTTATTAACTTTCTTAGAGGTCGTTGTATCTTATAAGATAATGATTGAATTTGCATAATTATTTGGTTCCATAAATTTTGTAAACTTTTTCCAACCAAACCTGTTTGATTTTTTGTTGGCATACCTTTAAACTCTTTGAAGATCAGAAATATTCTTAAGAAATCGATAAATAATAAATGGGAATTACCCAATAAATGATGCATGCAAACAATAGACACACAGCAAATGTCTAAGCTGCAAAAAGTTCTCAGAGAGCGGCAAATAATGTAAACAGCGAGTATAAAACTCGACCGAATGTGTATAGATATTAATGAATTATTCACTAACGGGAGTAACCAGTTCTCTTTTTCATTTGATTCTGACTTATTTTGAGAATTTCAATTTCAGTTTCATCGACAATTCCGAGTACAACAGACGTTAGTTCTTCATCCTTAAGTGAAAGTGCAACTAATTCAATAAAAATGCAATATTTAGAATTTGCAAATGGAGATAAAATTCCAATGATTGGGTTAGGTACATGGCGTGCACCGGACGAAGAAGTTGAAGCTGCAATTAATCTTGCATTAGAAATTGGTTATCGTCATTTTGATTGTGCACCCGTTTATATGAACGAAAAGGTCATCGGAAATGTTTTCAAGAAATGGATTGATTCTGGAAAAGTTAAGAGAAGTGATTTGTTTATTGTGACTAAGCTTCCACCATTTGCGAATCGAGCTGAAGATGCTGAAAAGGTCTTAAAGAAATCTCTTGCTGATCTTCAATTGGATTATTTAGATCTTTATCTCATTCATGTTCCATTCGCTGTGCCTTATGTCGAAGGGCCCTTCCAAACTCATGAAAATGGAAGCATCGTACAATCACCGACTGACCATATTAAGACATGGAAGGTATGCATTAATTTGTTGCTTTTGATTCACATGCTTAAATTTCTATTTCATAGGAGTTGGAACGACTCAAGACCGAGGGTTTAATCAAACATTTAGGCGTCTCTAATTTCAATGAACGTCAGATACAGCGATTGCTAGACAATAGTGATGTCAAGCCTGAAGCACTTCAAGTAATTAATTAATTTGATGCACTTTGTATGTGTTGTAATGACTTGTTGATATTTACATTTTAATAGGTTGAGTTGCATGTCTATTTCCAACAAAAGCCATTAGTTAAATTCTGTAAAGATAACAACATAATTGTGACTGCATACTCGCCTCTTGGATCTCGTGGAATTAATAAATTGCTCGAAGGATCTGGGTAGGAAGGATAATTGAGATTATTATAGCTATAATTTTTTAAACGGTTTCCTTTTTCTAGTATCGAAGTGCCCGATCTCTTAGAAAATCCAGTTGTCAAGACTGTCGCTGAAAAGCATGGAAAGTCACCAGCACAAGTGCTCTTAAGATACATCACTCAAATGGGAGTCACGACAATCCCAAAAAGTACAAATGAAAATCGATTGAAAGCAAACATCGACATTTTTGGATTCGAATTAGATGGATGCGATATGAAGTCATTGTCAGATCAAGATGCAGGCATCAGACTTGTTGAATTCCGTAACTTTGATTTCTTCAAAGGCATTGAAACTCACCCAGAATATCCATTTTAAGGATTAAAAGATAGTATTTAGCTTTGCATAATAATTTTTTATTTGATGATAAATTTCCTAATTTTTTTCGTCATTAAAACATTTCCAGAAAGGATCTTGTTGTTGCTTTCTTATGATTCCTAATAAATATTTTCACCCACTTGTCAAATGCTTCAAAATGTAATTTGTTTTATTTATTAAACCAGTCTAGGTAATACACTACTATTTTCGTCTTGATGGTTGCTCTGAATTGTGTCCTCCTGTAAGCAAGCATTAAGATTTCAGTATGCAAAAATGTGTCAGTTAAAAAGATTTATAGATGAAATGTTAAGAATGAAAAGAAGGTGAAAAAATGACTCACTTTAGTCTGTGGAGCTATTTGATATAGATATCCAATGACCTTTCTTGGTATATTCCAAAAAATCTTTATATGCACATGCATTGCCATATATAAAAACATAAATTAAAGTGGAAAACCATTCAAAAAGATGAAAAATTTAAAATAAGAAGAAAAAGAAGCTAAACACCTTAAAAACTAATGAATGATACGAGATTTAAAGGAATTTGAATGATGAAATTTGGTACTTGCGGATCTTGAGTAGCAATTAAAACTCACCGATAATAACGATCAAAACAATTTTAAATTAAAAACCTTTCAAATGTTTCAAAAGTTGAATTTGTAAGGTTTTAAGCCAACTTAATTTTTAAAACCCTTTAAATGTTTTCTCAGACTCAACCGGGTGAAAACCTTACAACAACTTTTAAAACAACATGAAATTAATTCAGAACCATACAAATCCAGTTTTACTCACAAAAATAACCATTTCAAAACCATACAAATTCAAACTAGATAAAACCACATAAATTTTATAAAAATTCACCATTCAAAAACTCAATTGAATCTATTCTAAAATGAAAATAATGATAGAAATGAGAAAAAAATTTAAACTTTTATTTTGGCAACAAAAAGTTGACCAAATTGATTATAATCTCTTTAACATGCTAATGAACCCATGAAACTTATAGACTAGAAAAATTTACAAAAAAATTCAATTTTGTCTAATTATTTTCGAATTATCCAATAGAATTTAACTTAATGAATTGTGAATGTATTGATGTCAAATGGAAAGTGTGCTAAACCTAATTATTATCACTCAAAACATTAGTAAATGTCTTTTTGGACAATTTGAAGAATGTTAGACTATGGTATGATTACTTTAAAGTACAATAATGAGAAGAAAAATAATGATTGTCAAAAATAATAATTTCCAAGGCAGTAAAAAGTATGACTACATAAAGCTTTACAAAAAAAGTAACACCAAAATGAATAAAATAATTACAATGATGATTAATCATCAGATTCATCAGTATATGTAGATGATGATGAACATGACGATTCGGAATATCGATTGCTTCCATTTTTACCTTTTGATTTCTTATTACGATCTGTTGGTGAGCTAAATCCTCGTCGTTGAGGTACAGGTGATCTTGGAGGACTAATATCCGTTTCAGTTTCAAACGGCGTATAGTCATCATATCGACTATCTGGTGAATATCTTCCATGTCTTGGACTATATCTATCACGATCATCTCTCATTGTTGGGGTAAATCTCTTTGGTGGTGGACTCATTAATCGACCCAAAGGTGGAAGTCCCATTGGTGGTAATGGCATAAATGGAGGTGGCATAAACGGTGGTCCATCTAGTAATAAAACAATAAGAAATAAATTAATGATTAGAGAAATATTTGATAAATAACAGCCAAACAATATTTGAAAATGCGTTGTAAGACTTAAGGACAGCAACAACTTACTAAGTAATTCAGCGCTGGTTATTCCTGGCATAAAAGGTGGGGCTCCTGGCAAAAATGGAGGTAAGCTTATATTATTTGGCGATTCAACTCTCATTGGTGATGGAATTGTATTCATTGAGTCGTTTGGTCCAGGTAATCCATCTAATAATGAAATAGTGAGAAATAAATTAGCGCTTATGAAATATTTGAAATCGATCACAAAATATTAATTTGAAAACTCCTTTTAAAGGCTTAAGGACAGAAATAAAGCAACTTACTGAGTAATTCAGCGCTGGTCATTCCTGGATTCTCAGCAATCGAAGTTAAACGACGTCTTAATGCTGCTGCTTCCATTCTCGCTTCTTCCATTTTTCTCTCAGATTGTTTAGCTGCTAGCCATGCTGTATGCGATTGTCCTTCTACAGACGTCAATTTTGCCTTGTAGCTGATAATCTGAGCTTCAAATTCTGCCTTTAATTCGTCATTTTGTGATCTTGAAAGAAAAATTATAAATGAATTATTGAAGTAATGATACTAATTGCAATAAAGCCTCACTTTAATGTCTGAATTTCCGCATTGAGTGCTTGAACTTTCTCGACTGTACTCGTAGTTTCGCCTTGCTGTTTCATCCATCTTGCTTCTTTCAAACTCAATTCTGATGTCAGTTGAGTTTCTTTTTCCTTGAAATAATTTGATAAGACATCAAGTCGTGTCTGTGCATCAAGCTTCTCTTTTTCAGCAACACTAAATTCTTTCTTTAAATTTGACAAATCATCACTAACGGTTTTTACGCGATCTTCAAGTAATTTCCTTGAATCTCTTTCACTTTGTAATTGCTCTTGTATCGTACTTTTCTCCTTTGTAACAGCTAAGAGATCAGCCTTAAGATCAGCAACGTCAAGAAGATTTTTAAAATCACCACCCTTTGTTTTTCTGATAGTTTCGATACATTCTTCAAGTGCCTGCACTTTAGATTCAGCAGATGTTAAGAGCTTTTTACTTTCATCATATTTTCCAGCATACGATGTCAATTCACTGTTTAATCTTGTTACTTCAGAATTTCTTTCCTCAATTATTTGATTCACTTGCATGTCACTTTCACGTTTTAAGTTTTCCAACTCGATTTGTAAATTAGAACGCTCAAGTGCTACTGCATCGACTTGCTGTTGGAACTTTTCATATTCACCACCAAATTTACTATTTATTTCCGATAGTTGAATTTGTAGTTCCGAATTTTCTCGAGATTTTAATGCTAGTGCTTCATTCATCGTTATTATCGTTTCTAAAATTAAGAGAATCATTTTGATTAGTAGCCGGTTTCAATAATTCAAGCAGCCAAGACACAATTCAAAATTCTAGAAGTTTAAAAATCAATTAGACAAAACACAATTTTGAAGGTAAATTCTAACAGTCACTTTAAAAACTTTAAAGGTTACAAACCTTGTTGCTCGTTAAGTTGTCTCTGCAGATCTTCAACAGAACTAATGATTGAATCACTGCCAGTTTGATTATTAAGCAATTCCGATACCATACGATTTAATTCAAGTCCATCTTCAGCTGCTGCTTCCAATTCCTTCTCTAATGACGATATTTTATCCAACAATTCCTCTTTTTCTCTTTCATTAAGTTCCAAATCTTGTTTTAATGCAATAACCATGTCATTTGATCCGAATGAATTATCTTGAATACTTTTAAGCTGTTGCTTTGTAATTTCAACTTCAGCTTTAAGATTTCCATTTTCTTTACCCGTTGACATTATTTCTCGTTCCAATTCATTCATTTTTCTAATGAGACTGCCTTCCTTACTTGCTTTACTGATACAGTAATGACCAAAGATGAAAATCAGTACAGTAAGAGCAACAAGACCCAATGTAATAATTACATCAATCATTTCTAGTGCTTCGATGAGAATCATTTTGATATAATCATCCACTGTGTTTGAGTTTGCAGAATCGTATTTAACTTCACGTTTTACATCATTTTTAACAGACTTTGGACAGTCCTCTGAATCAATTTTCTCACAAAAACCTTCGTCAACTGAAAAATGAATTAATTTTATTGTATGTTCTTATAACAAATATTTTTGAGGGATTTTTGGCACGTATAACAGAACAAAAGCAACAGTTATGACGTCATATTTACGAATTGAAACACAATAGTGATGAATGTTTAATTCATTTTTGTGTAATAATTCAAAGTTAAAAAGACGTGTATTAACAATTTACAATTTAACGGATTTCAAGAATTCAAATATTCAAAGCACAAACTTTTAGATATTCAAGACTCAAACCAAATATGACAATTTTTTTCAAAATTTAACGAAATTTCGTAGTTTGATTATTTAGTACAAAACCTTTTAAAATTTCTTAAGTTTTAAAATTCTACAAAAACGTTAAAAACTCACCATTTTCAGATGATAATTTTTGAGCATCGTTGCTTGAATCATGTGAATGTGGATGCTCATCGCCGAATATTTTCTTGACTAATCCACTGAAAAATCCTGGTTTTTTATCTTGATCAACAATTTCCTCTTTCACAAGATCCTCTTTTAACGTGGCAGTTTGTTGATCGTGACTGTGTTGTTCAACATTTTCTTGTGAATGTGAGTGCTGTGATACATGCTCATGACTGTGTAAAACTTGTTGATGATTTTCGTGTGAATCATGGCTGTGAGCAGCGTGTGAATGACTGTGTGAATCATGTGAATGTCCATGCTGATCATGTGAATGCCCATGCTGATCATGTGAATGCTGATGGCTGTGGTGAATTTGTTCGACACTTCCAACACCTTCTGGATGTCTATGTCCCAATTTCTCACTAAATCGCTTTAATAATAAATCTTGGTCATTTTTATCTTCACGTTTTTCCTGAGATGAAGGAGGCACTTCTGTTATTTCTTCATGTTTAAGTTCTGGTAAATTAGTGATTGGTTGGTAAGATGGTGTTGTGGTTTCATCAATTAGGAGTGGAATTTCTGGCTCATACTTTTCTTGAATTGGCTGTTCTGTAATTGGAATTTGTGTAGTAATTGGTTCTTCATTTATTTCTTCATTTACTGGTGCTGGATCTCTTGGTTTTACTTCTTTTTCTTCCTTAATCTCTGGAATTTGTTTGAATTCTGGAATTTCAATCTTCTCTTCGACTTTTTCTGGAATTTCCTCAATCTTTTCTGGTTCCTTTGGTGCTTCAATCTGCTCTACTCCCTCGGTTTTATTCTCGGCAGAGTTATTATCAATTAATTCTGGTTCCTGAGTTTTTGTGTCACCAATTTCAATAGTTTTACTCTCATCGAAAACATTTTTATCTTGATCAACAACATTTTCAGCTTGTACAATTTCCGGTTTCGCGATTTTGATATCGTCTACTTTTTCTATGGGTTTCTCTTCATTTTCTTTTGATGTCGTGGCATTTAATTCAACTCTATTTTCCTCAATTTTTATTGGTTCGGTATTTTCTGTAATTGTATCATTTTTCTGTTCCTGGATGTCTAACAAATCTGCTTCCTCATCCTCATCATCATCTTCTTCCTCATCGTCAGTCTCGTCATCGTCTTCGTCGTCCTCGATTCCGCTATCATTATTTTCTTGACGAATTTCCTGTTTTTCGTTTTTTATTTCATTTGATTTTTGCAATTTCTCGGCTGTTAACTTATCAGAATCATCTTGGATAGGCTGTTCCTCTTTCTTAGGCTCAGTACTTTCAGTTTTAACTTCCTTTTCTTGCTTAACTGTCTCAGTACTTTCCGTTTTAACTTCATTTTCCTGCTTCACTGTATCTTTTGGTTCGGTCCCAATCGGAATATAATCTGTAGGTCTTTCTTCAACAATTTCGACTTTTTTCTCTTCATGATTGTGGTTGTTATTGCTATGATCATGATTGTGCTTATTTTCATCTGGAGAACTGTTTGTTTGATTGCTTATTTGCTGATCTGGCTGACTAGAAGATTTTAACATTTCATGGAGGAAATTTGTCTCTTTAACTTGTGAATTAATCCTTAATGTATCAAGATTAAGTTGGACTGAATGTATAAAATTCCCTTTAGCCTTTTCTCTAATATGATTTTTTGGTAAAAATCCATAATTCCTGCCATATCGAGCATAATAAAGATCATCAGTTGCACCAAATATTTCAACTTCAGAATTCAGTGAATTAATGTGTAACTTGTAAGGCTTATCTGGAACATATCGAAGTGTTGTAACAGCTAAATTTGATGGCCCTAAAATTAACATTTTACATTTTTCAAAAATTTATATTTTATCAAATAGAAAGTGCAATTTTGAAAATATCACGAAAATCTACTCACTTTCACACAATTCATCTCCACATTTCACTTGCAAAACATCGGCAAGTGAATATCCTAATACACTTACTAATATAATAACTATAAATCGCATCCTAATCACATTTAATTTAATTAAAACTTTTTATGATGATTTTTTTATTCGTACGTGTAACTTGTAACCAAATTTGAATTTTTGAAAACCGTTAAACTTATTTTGACACAGTTTTTATATTTTATGCTTTTTAACGGTTGATTCTCATGTTTAACGAGCTAAATTAATGTATTTTAATTAACAACAGTGGATTATAATTATGATAAAACTGGAAAATATTTCAAATAGCATTAAAACGCCGGAAAAATATTTGTCAAAAAAGCCTTTCAAAAAATGTTCAAAAGTGACGTCACAACAAATTGGTAAACAATCGATTTGTAAAAAAATATAAGCTTAAAATTAACTTATTATTGCATTTTAGCAGTTTTAGCATGAGTGTTCAGTATAAAGCGATGTTATAAAGTTACTTTATATTTAAATAGTTTAAGAAAATTGACAAGGACGTGACACTTTCACAATCGATTGAAGAAATTCAGATATAAAAATTGTTTTATGCCTAAAATAACTCGTAATTATAGTTTCTAGTTGATTTCAATTTTATAAATTGATATATTCATCATATTAGTCAGGTAAGAAGCATCATTAATCAAATGGAATAATTATTTATGAATGTTTTTGATTTTAGTAAAAAGTTTACTGGATCTTTGAAAATTTAATGAAGCAAGGATGGAAAAGTCATCAAAACATTCAGATAGTCATTCTATAAGACATCCAAAAAAGTCACATTACATGTCAGATGTGTCTCGGAAGGATTTTAAGTGCAACATATGTCTACAAGAGTTTTATACTGATAATCAGCTAAAAGATCATCAGGAAGTCCATATAACGCCGTATTGTCATTTCTGTTCAAAAATGTTCAAGTCAGCAAAGCTTTTACGTGTCCACCATCAAACTTATCATGAATCGTCGTCGCATAATTCATCCAAAGAAACGAAAAACAGTTCAAAAAATGATAACAATATATGTGAAGATTTATCGTTAAGTAAAATTAAGGAAGAGCCAATTGAATTAGTATCAGAGCCTGAAATTGAAAATTTATTAAATCATGATCCACACTCATCAAGTACAACAAGTTCAGATTTTTATCCAGAGCCATCGAGAACGCTCGGAATATGGAGGAATTTCACTGAAACACCGCCATTCCTTAATTTAGAGCATTCGAGTGTACCTTTGGGCATTAAAATTGAGCCAACAGAAATTCCTGAAACTGATCAATTTGACTTTATAATAAATGAGATTTTAAAGAAGCCATCCAACGAACATAATACACATGCATCACGACTCTCGCTTGTTGCTGAAGAAATTTCTTTGCAACAGAACTTCTGGACACAATCTGATAATCAGGAACAAAATATTTGGATATGCGATATTTGTAGTAAGCAATTTACGACAAAACAAATACTACAAAGGCACAGAATCGCACAGCATGACCAGAGTAAAGATTTCAAATGTGATCAGTGTGATACATGGTTTAGTAGCTCTAATAATCATGAACTTATTAAGCATGTAAATGAAGTGCACAATGGATTTAAGAAATTTATTTGTGATTTTCCGGGCTGCAACAAAGAGTTTTCAAGGAGAGATGCATTAAAGCGACATAAACAGTGTCACGAAAAGGGTCGAAATGCTGTGATTCAACATCCACCAAAAATTGCTCATCATCCTTACTTTAAACCCAACAATTTCAGTAGACACTGATGATTTTATCCTATTATTTGATAATGATAATAATAATTATATTAATTAATTAATAATTAAAAATGCTTGAAAAAGTTTATGAAAATCAAAATTCTTAAAAAATTATAAAATTGTTTTTTTTTTTTGAAAGAAAATAAAGTATCAGTAAATTGAAAATAATACAATGCCTAGCTAGCTCACTATCTGGTGGGGCGTATTTAAACAATTTCTATTAATTCTAGTATGAATCTTTTAGTCTGTTGCTGAAAACCGTTCAGAACTGAAGTTTAAATTTTTAAATAATATGAAATTGCTTTTAATTTCTTTATTTGTTCTGTGTTATTTAAAGGGATTAGGTGAATTTTAATTATTTTCTTACCTATGCCTTTTTATGTAAAAATTTCGATCATCCGTTGTATTTCAAATTCTCAAGTTTAAAATTTGAACTTTAGTTCAAATTATCCGCTAAATCTCTCTGAATTGACTATCCACAGAATCACTTACATGTGACAACACAGATCATGAGCCAAACAACGAGAAGCGACTCAAGAATGATTTATTCTGCAAATACGACAACTTTATTCGTCCAGGAGATATCAGTAATGCCACATTAATAAGTCTTCGGTTAAATGTCAAGAACTTTGATTATGATGATGAGGATAACGTTATGTCAATAACATCTTGGATGACATTATCATGGACTGATAATAGATTGAATTGGAATTCAGTTGATTACGCAGGTATTGGATCGATACATATGAAATCTGATTATCTTTGGACACCAGAATTGTCATTGTATAATGCACACATTCCATCCTCAATGGGAACTTGTCACGTGATAGATTGTATAATATCAAATTCGTCTAAAGTTTCATGTGTTATGCCATGTGAGCATAAGGCTCATTGCAAGGATGTTGGCATCACCAATTGGCCATTCGATGTACAAAATTGTACATTCACATTTGGATCATGGATGAAAGTTGGGGAGGAATTAAATTACATTCCTGATAAAGTTGTCTTATTCACCAAAAGATTAAAGGATAATAATCAATGGAACCTTGTCGATTCATCTGTAAGATACAATAAAGGATTTTATTCGTTTACGGACGAAACATTTCCATCAGTCACGTTTGCATTCGTTTTGGAACGACATAATGGATTTCATCGAGTCTCAACAATATCATCAGCTATTATCATAATGGTCTGCAATTTGTTAGTTTTCTTCATAAGTCCTGAGTCTATCCTTCGATTATTTTTTTGTGGTGCAAATGTGTTCGCAAATTCCTTATTCTTGGAGTTTCTTTTTTGGATGTACGTAATGAATTTGTATTAATCATGTGCTATTAATTATTTTAACTTTTATTCAGGGTGCCTTGGTGTGGAGATAAGACCCCGAAAGTCTTGACATTCTTTGATGACCTTCAAATTTATGGGACACTCTTACTTATGCAGACTATAATTCTAAAAACAATTTTGACATGCTCTGAAAAATGCCCAATTTGGATGACTAATTCTGTTTTAAAAATCAACACGTTCCCATTATCTCAATTATTAGTGAAACAGTCATCATTAAAACTCCCCGAAAATGCGACCGAATTAGTTGAACATGTTAAGCAACAAGCTTCTGACAAATTGGTTTTACAAAATTTTGTTAGACTTGTCGACCGATTATTCATATTATTGACACTAATTTTGTTTCCATTCATGTTCTTTTCTCTATTCCCAAAAGGATATTTATCTTATGGATACAATCCAACTGATATTTTGACTCAAGCTGCTTAAAACCTTATGAATGTTAATATTTTGTTAAAAGATTAGTAAAACTTTCATAAATATTGTTAAATTGATTTAAACCAAACATTGGAAAACCATTCAACAGTTTATATTTGTTGGATATTAAATTTCAATAAACATTTAAAAACCTTCCAACAGTCGTAATTTTGATAAAAAAATTTGTATAGTTTTGAAGAAAAATTCAAATAAAAACCGTTAAAAACTTATCAAAATATGATCCAAAATGTTATGTTCCAATTCCATGCCATTGCAGCTTACAAATTTGATAAAAGACAATCAAATTGTAATAAAATTATCAACTATATCACATTTCATTTAAAACAGCCTATTCATTTAAACAGATTTAATTTCAGTAATTAGTACTCTTCAGACTCTTCACGATGAAGCTCACATTAATTGGTATATGTTTCATTCTGATATTCAGGCTTTGTGGTAATTTAGTTTCGGTCATTTAAAAATTAATTAAAAACATTTTTGTGTCACATATAATTAAATTAACAATTTTAAATGCTTTTAATTTGCTTTAAAGAATCATTGGACTGTACAAACAGAGATAGCAAGGAGGTCCATTTGAAATTAAAGAAGAAAATGATTTGTGATTATGATAAGTTCGTGTCACCAAATCAAGATGGTCCGATTAACGTCGTCTTTAATGCTATTTTAAAGTCTTTTCATTTTGTAAGTAAAAGGATGTTCAGGAATAGCTTAGTATCATTAATTGTCATTTTCTTAGAGTGACGATACAAGGACCATGACAATTCAGACATGGCTTTTCATTTATTGGAGTGACAATCGATTTGCATGGGATATCAAGGATTATGAAGGCTATGAGCAGACTTTTGTGCCATTTGATCTACTCTGGGTTCCTGATATTGCTTTGTTTGAATCGTAAGTCATAAAAATCACGGACTAAGAGTAAGATTTAAAATTGAACATAATCAATATTGATGCAATTCTTACAGCGATGTCAAAGAAGATTTAAATTCCTGCACAGTAACAGATTGCAACATATCCTTTAATGGAACTGTCGAATGCATTATGCCTTGTGAATTCTCAATTTATTGCAGTGATGCTGAATATTCAAATTGGCCATTTGATTACACGAGCTGCAAATATTTGTACATGTCGAGGACAAAAAGTGTAAAAAAGCTGAATTTTATTGGAAATAAATTGCAAGTCGATTCCGATGGTTCATACCAGAATGAAGCATGGCAATTAAACTCTTTAAGTGGAATGGTCTTTAATCAAACGAATGCTTTAGCCAACACCAACGAGCCTTACTCATGTGTCATGCTTACGTTCATCATCAAAAGAGACAGTAAAGAATTTGTCTACCAAGTTATTATTCCAGCAGTGCTGATGATTTTAATGAACATCTTTACTCTTATTTTGGATGCGGACATGAATGAACGCTGGGTGCTTTACGCAATTTACTTATTTTCTCACGAGATTTATAACGTACAGCTTCAATGGATGTTGCCATCAAACAGCGATTCAATTCCAAATGTCTTTAAGTACAATTGTGATTCATGCTATATCACGGTAGCTTTAATGCTTACAAGTCTCTTTATGAAATTCTTTAGTGAATCTGAGGAAAATTCAGAATTAATATTGACAGTCATTGATAAGACAATCAAAAGCTATCCTGGCCAATTTATAATGAGAAAGGATATTCAAGTTTCTGAGAATCCAGAGATTAATCAGACATTAATGAAGAAGAATTTTAATACCCTGATTGACAGAGTTCTAATGGTTCTCTTGATCATAATTTATGGATTCATGTTCTCAACTTTGATGCCAAATAGCGGAGCAAATTTGGATAAACCATTTGGAATAGATTTCGAGTCAATTTACTGATACGAAAAAACAACATTCATTATTCAAAATAATCTTTATCATTAGAACCGTGTATCATGTTACTTACAGCTATAATGTTATTAAAGTCTGTATTCCATAAATAATTTATTCAGTCTTTTAATAAACTTTAAATCGTGAATACGCAAGCATGAAAGTTTTCAGAAATTTATTTCTCTTCATATCATTTTTCGCATGTTGTGGTAAATTTTTTAAGGATGAATATATAATCGCATAAAAATTTATTTTCTCATGCTTTGTATTTTTACACAGCTGCGTTCTGTAATTCAGACTCAAAGAATATTGAAGTTAAATTAAAGAATGATCTTTTGTGTCACTATGTTGCTGAAGAGAGGCCTAAGCAATTGGATGTACCTATCGAGCTTAATTATGGTGTTAGGAGTTTTACTTATGTGAGTAATATTTGGCTATTTGGTGGAATTTTATGGATGTGGGATCCTCAGATAGCTCAATTATATAGAATTAAGTAACTGAAAGTCGTTGAATATAAGTTCAAGTCCGAAACAATTCTGACTTAATCCTAAATCATGTCCCGTTAAAAAAAAGTTTTTGAGAAGAGGTATAGAGGTTCAGGTTGTGTAACGCTTCCCATCAATTTCTTTTCATGTTTTGATATCAATTTAGGAAGAAACAACATCAAGAATATCAGTCGAGGCTCGAATTCTCCATCGATGGGACGATTTACGATTGAGATGGGAGGAAAACGACTATGCAGGCATTAAAATGTTTCATATAAGTTCTGATAAAATTTGGATTCCGAAACTTTTTATCAACAATTCATTTCATCATTACGGCTTGGGTGATTGTCATCCAACAGAATGTTTAGTCAAATCAAGTGGACAAATTGGATGCTGGATTCCATGTACACAAGAATTAGATTGTATTGCAGACTATGAAAAGTGGCCATTTGATAAACACATTTGTCGAGTATCCTTTAAGACCTTCTACACATATGAAAATGTCACATTTGATGCAAACGAAGTGGGTGGACAGGTTGTGATGAATACAAACAATGAATGGAAGCTTGTCTCCATGACTGGATTGATAGATACAAAAAATAAATATGTTGTGCATTTTTTTATCTCCATCGAGCGCTACAGCGGAATGATTTACAAGCACGTCATAATTCCAATTTATTGCCTTATTGCATTTACACTCGCCATTTTATGGATAAAGCCTGAAAGCTTTTGGCGTTTAATTTTGTGCGGATTCAATATTTATTTACATTTCAGCTTGATGGATAGAGTCTGGTGGCAATTTCCGTCAAATGGAGCATCAAAAAGTGTACCAAAAATACTTAAATCCATGACATTTATGTTGATTCTTTCAACCATAATTCTAATTGAGTCAATAATTGTAAAAGCTGTTTCAATTCGCTGCACAGTGCCTCCTTTGTGGACGCAGAAGATTGTAAACATTTCCGACAGTAATTCAATCATCAAATATGTAATTCTATCTCCGACAGATTTGAGGGAAAATGCAAAAAGCGACGAAAATTTCTCGACAACCGAGGAAGCAAATAAGAAATGTGAAAGGGACGTGATGAAATCTTTGAATCGAATTATTGATCGATCTTTATTTCTTCTTTTGTGCATCGTTTTCATTTTCTATAAAATTGTTTAAATCTCACATTTCTCACTAATCTATGTACTCAAAAAACTGCTGAAAATGCTTAATAAAAAAAAATCACTTACTTAAGCTAAACAAAGTCCTGGACCACTCGGCGGTTGTGCATTAATATTTCTCAATCTCATACGGCAATAATGCTCTTCCATTCTAGATTTAGCATCTTCGATGTCCACAACGTTCATTGGTGACCAAAGTTTTTCAGCTGTTGCACTTGCTCTTGGGAATATTCGTTGTATTACGTTTGAGTCGTCAACAACTTCTGACCTGTGTGGCATGAACATTTGATTTTTTATTCTTGTTATTAGATTATTAATGTTATACTTACCACATACAAGCTTCACCACCTAGAACTAGCTTCCTTAAGTCTTCTTTTACTGTAAAATCATGTGGTTCACAGTTGTAAAATTTAACCCAGTCACCTCCAGTTGATAAATGGTCTAAATACCAGCATGATGATAGCAAAGCAGGCAATTTTTGTTCTGTTATCTGCAATTGAAATTTAACGGTTTAAAACATTTGAATTTTTAACTATTTTTTCAAATTTAAAATCTTAAAAATACGTTAGAAAATCTCAGGACCTTTAATAGCAGTTTTCTTCTATCTCCTGTCCAAACATGAACGATGGTGCCTTTGGGCAGTCGAACACCGTTAGTAAAAACTTCCTGCCAAACAATAGGAATTGCGTTAAGAGATGCAACTTTATCAATAAGTTTCTGAATATAAAATTCTTCTAGTTGAACAAACGATGTCATATTATATTGTTTCATATAGTTTAATATGTCTTGATTTGTCTGCCAGCATTCAAATCCAACTTCATCGCCGCCTAAATGAACATATTTATCCGGAAAGACATCAACGATTTCATCGTAAAGACTATATATAAAGTCGTAATTTTCATCTAAAATTGGATTTATTGGACCAAGCTTCCCAGTATAGACTCCATAGCATTTTGTTAATAATTCTGGATGTGAAGCACCCCAACTTGCTGTATGTCCTGGCGTGTCAAATTCTGCCATTACACGAATCCCTCGCAATCTTGCATATTCAATAATATCAGCAACGTCCTTTTGTGAATAAATCATTGACGGATGGTAAGCTCCTCTCGTCATTTCCGGATATTTAACACTCTGATACGGAAAGCTATGATCGTCGACAATATGCCAATGAAATACATTCAATTTATTGTATGCCATTCCATCCAATATTCTTTCAAGTGTACTCATCGATATAAAGTGACGACTTGTATCCACTAAAAGTCCACGATGCTTAAAACGTGGCTCATCGAAAATTGTTGTCTCGTTGACAAGAAGCTTGAAATTGAAATGAGAGAGAAAAAGAAAAATTAAATGATTTTTTTTTATTGAATTATGAGAACTTTTCTTACAGTTCGTCCGTCGGGTGATAAGTACAGTAATTGAGAAAATGATTCTAGTCCTCGAAGAACTCCCCAAATAGACTCAGCTGATAATGTTGCTTGATTTTCGGAAATTTTTAAATCGTCTATGGATTGAAAATGTTTACATTTAGGATTAGATTTTCATGTCATGTACATCCATTGATTGGATAATAAGTACTTTATGGATTAAACTTTGAAATTTTTAATATAATGGTTTATGAAAGATTATAGATTATCGTGCCTTACATGACTCATCCATATCTAAATGTGGATATTTTTCGCAGGATTTCTTTAAATCTACTTTTAGAGCCTCCATGCTGCCATTGAATTCTGATGAATTTCGCCATTTATTACTGTAACTTGAATCAGCTTTATATCTCAGTCTTCTCAAATGTACCACTATTATTTGCTTATATCGATCAATGGCTGATTGCAGTATATCACATTTATATCCAATTGTCTCAAAATCAAATGTCGACGGTCTTAACGTTCTAAAATAATTTGTCGAAACTATGGTTTTTGGATGTGGCCAAATGCTTCCTAAAAGAATAACAATAAAGTTGATAATTCCTTATCTCTATAGAATGTATAATATGCTGGAATTAAATGTGAACAACCTCATTACGATGATAATCAAATTGAAAGCTCACTTGTAATAAAATTAATGAGTTTGTAAACATTTTGTTTATTGACACTCTGTTGAAATTTCTTTGGCAAACACTACTGAACTAATTAGATAATTGATTAATTGAGACATTGCTCTGTAATTTTACCAAGTAACGTGACGTATTCGTTATTAATTGATTATTTGTATTTATAACCGTTAAAATTTTAAATATTTAAAACCTTACAAATTTTTCCATGGAATTGAAGGTTTTTAATATTTAAAAATCCGTTTGAATTTTTCCATGCCATTAAAATCACTTTTCAAACTATTGTTTCACAAATCTCCAAAAATGCACTTTATCATTAGAAAACTCGATTAGCTTTCAACTCGTCTCTCACATTTTCATGAAATAAGCATAATTTTCTCACATTCCCCCATGACGATTGAATTAAATTACCTTTTGTAGCTTTCACAACAGGTCCAAAATCGACAATATACGAGGAACTTAATGTTAATAATGCGGAAAATACTAAAATGAATTTATGCATATCAGCAGTTTCGGTCTTGTTTGAATAAAAATGAATTTTATTGTTCAAAAAACATCTGATTCTATCAGCGGCTATGAAGAGACTAATTTAATTGAATGCTCTCCAATTCTGACCCTACTCACAGAGCGTTATTTTTTTTAACGTAAAAACTTTTATCGCTTACAAAAAAAAAAAATTGACACTGTAAAAAAGCAAACGATTTATATTCATGATGTACACATTGATAATTCTATTATTATTTAATACTGACACTAAATAATCATTATTTATTATAAATCTACGGAAAACAGAACAACAATGACGTTTTGTAACTTTATGCACTTATAGACACTAAACTATGTTTATGAACTACATAAAATTGGTCAAAAATAGTTTACTATTATCGTTATAGTAATATTAATTAATGCCATGTGAATAGTATATGACAAATCATCAAATAAACTGTGGCTGTGATGATGCTGCCAATCATGACTGGAAAGCCGATTCTGAAGAATTGAAACAAATTTGTTAAGCATTTAGTCAAAACAAAATTCAGATTCAAATTTAATTCATTTTAAAAAGAAAGCGTGATAGGGTAAATAATTTCAACTTACTTGAAGAACTCAACAAACGTAAATTTATATCCATGCTGCTCAGCAACACCCGCACAAACAACATTAGCAGAAGCTCCAATTAATGTGCCATTTCCTAAGATTAGTGTACCCAGAAAATTAATAATGCCAATTAAATAAAATAATTAATAAAATCACCTCCGAGACATGCTCCCAAGCCTAAAGCCCAAACAAGTGGTTGCAGAGGTAAATTGAGCGATTCATTTTGTGATAATGAGATAACAATTTTAATCATCATAGTTGTGAATGGAATATTGTCCACAAAAGCGGATGCAATAGCTGAAATCCATAAAACAATTAATATTGCAACGGCAAGTCGTGAATTTTCGCCCGTCATTTGAATTAATGTTATAGCTTGTTTCCCAATAAAGTCAATTAATCCAAGTTCCGATAACGCTTCCATAAGAACAAATAGAGCAGCAAAGAATAGTAATGTTGCCCATTCAACATGTGCCAAGATAGCTTCAACATCCTCTCGGTCATAAAGAATCAATAAGAGAACAGCACCAAGTAAAGCTGTCCATCCCAATGACAATTTTTGGATGTCTGGCGCTGAATGAAGGAAGAAGAATGTTATGACAAAGACTAATGCAATTCCGGACTTGATCAAAAGATTTTTGTCCTTGATTGGATATTTTTGCTGTAATTCCTCTAATGTCGCTTGATAGCTTTCTGTTGGTACGGCTCCAGATGTCAATTTCTTTTTCAACTCTCTTTGTAGCCTTTCAACTTTTTTCACTAATGTTTTTCTCACAATATCTTCGTCCTTTGAAAATGGCGATAGAGTTGCTGCTGCACGTTGCCAAACTGTGATTTCATGACGCAATTCTATAACATCTTTTGGCTCGGAAAATCGTAAATCACTAACTTTTTTAAACATGAATCGAAGTTGGAAGTAAGTTTGAACCATGACCATAAGAACTCCGAATGTCATGTGAAAGGTAAAATTTGTGAAATTGATGCCCTATGAATAAATGAAGGCTTATAAGGTTAGTTATTGTGGTTTCTAGGAGTGACTACTTACGCTTTTTGCAATGAAGCTATTTGAAATCTAGAATAATTAAGAACATTGAATTAAATTTCAATTCAAATTTTTAATCTTATTAAACTAATTAAATGTCGACAAATACTCATCCAAGAAGTTTGGAAATACATACACTGGAAAATAAACAAATTAAATCTCATTAATGAGTTGAATGATTTTTGATTAATTATAAAGATTTACTCACACTGCAAATAAACAAAAAATGATTAATTATCATAAGATTTTGTGTAATTAATCGAACTCAATAAAGAATATTTGTTGTGTAAACTTACTCTGTAAAGCAAAGAAAAAATTTGGTGATGATTTAGTAAAAGGCTTCAAGAAAAAGTAAAAGATTAAAACTTACGATTAAATTTGGTGGGTCACCGACGGGAGTAGCTGTTCCTCCAATATTCGAATAAATAACAGTGATCATCAAAACAGGCACGGGATTTAATTCCATGACTTCACAAAGTCTTATGGTTACAGGTGTCATTAACAGAATAGTTGTTACATTATCCAAGAATGAAGATACAACAGCCGTAAACAGGCACAGACAAATAATCAAAGGCCATACTTTTCCATTAGTAATCTAAAGAAAATTTAATAAGCTATGGACGATAGGAAAAAATTAGCAACAACGTACCTTAAAAGCATATACAGCAAGATAGTCAAAAGCACCAGTTTCGGCTAGAACAGCAACAATAATCATCATTCCAAAAAGTAGAAGCAACGTTTCTGTATCAATCCATGACATAATAACAGACATCGTTGGACGTTCATTCATAGCAGCTAGTATACCTAAATGTGTGAAAAATAATCATCGACGATGAGAGTTTTCGTGAAACAAAATTAACATTTCATTAATTACCAATTGACAACGTTGAAGCTATCATAGCCGCAAATGTTCTGTGAACCAATTCCCAAATAATTAGTATATATAATCCAATTAATATAATAGCTGCAAGGGCAATTCCAACATTTTTATTGAGCGGCGAGGGATCATAAGCAAGATTAATTGAAAAACTTTCTTCCAAGTTTGTCAGCATATTAACTTTCATAGATGAATTGTTGTTATGTAAACTATCAAAATCAGATTGATCTAGATGTATTATCTTCGATCTCTTAATTTGATCAGCTTTGTCTATATCCTCAAGATCCACTGTCGCAAATTGATACAATTTTGACATATTCTTCTCATTTCCATTTTGGTCGTGTAGTGTTAGATAAAAAGACATGTGATTTGAGGCAATTGTATCATAATGATCCGTGAGAAAAGCTCCTTTAAAAATGAGTTTGATTCTTGGATTTAGCGGCAGGTCTGATAGTCTGTATGCTGGATGTAAAAAATTAAAATTATTAAAATTAAAAATAAATCCCGTCCTTACTTCTCGTTTCTTCTTCTGATATCGCCAGTTGTCTAAAATGGAGTACCTTTTCATCCTTCAGCATTAAGAATAGCGTAAATAAGACCCAAGAAATGAGTAATATTGTCATTTTTGTGTATTTAACATATTTGTTTTGCTGAATTTGAGAATGTAGATGGATTAGGATGATTCAATTCGTAATTTCAACTCTTCCTTACCTCTCGATGCCCAGTAATTTGACGGTGCATGTCATCATCTGCCTTTTTGCTGTAATTAAGTTAAATTAATTGAAATTTTCACAGAAAAAAAAAACGCTAGTAACAGATTTGAAAAGAGAGTGCAACTTCACGTTGGTTGCTTTTTTTATCCAAGACACATGCCATATTGTACCCGATTCAAATTAATTCTGTTAAATATTTGAAATGAATCCGTTAGATTCGATGATTTCTCACTAGATACGAGACCTTACTAGAGATTTCACTCTCAGAATGGAACACATAGTATTAAATCAAGGACTCACGCTTCAGCTTCAGTCATCGGAGTTTTAACAATTATCTCCTTAGGACCTTCAATTGCATCATCATCGCCATCAGAATTGGATATTTTGATAACAGTCAATTCATTAATTTTCTTCAAGCCACGACTGTCATCATCACTAAAATAATTGTCATCAGCTGGCAATGGATCATAATCACTAGAATCATGTCGTTGCTTTGGATCCACAAACTGTTTCGATCCGAGAATTTTCTCATGCTTCTTTCGGAATGACGCAAGTGCTGGATCAGCTCGAATCTCCTCAGGCAACCCACGCCAAACTTCAATACTTTCTTCAGTTACATCACTAAGAGACACGACTGAATAATTTGACTGAATTGATGGACGATGTGCTGAACTTTTCTTTTTAAGGAATCTCGGATGCTTCTTCTTGCGATCCGTCAGCTTCATTTTCTCAACACCCTCGTCCTTTTCCTTCATTTTTAAAGATTTTAATTAATTAATTCACTTTTTGACTTTTAGTTTTTAAGATGTGGCAAGTTCAGAAGACTTACAGCAACTGACTTAAATTTGACCACAGAAATAATATTTTTGGATAAATCTCGTGATTTAATTATCACGAAAAGTCAATGCAAAAGCATTATTTTTGTAAAAATCATTATCAATTAACACTTTGATGATTTCGTCGTGCTTTGGTCGAGTGAATTTAATTAAATCAAAAATAGAGCTACAAAATAATTTTGAATCTGCTGTTGAATGCTGCAAATAAGAGTATTAAACTAAGCACTTTTCCTTGAAACTTTTCTCGTTGTAACTTCATTGAAGCTTTCTCATTACGCATCTATTGTAATATGTGAGAATCCACGTGTTTATTGAGTTTAATTTACATGATAAAGATATTGATAATAATCAGTTCATTATAGAGCGTATGTCTGAATTTATTGATGAGTAACATGATAAATGTAGTATTTTTCGGATTTACTCGGTTAGGATCGAAATTTTGTTAAAATGTAATATTGATTTCTGTTTTAAAAGTTTTCGGTAAGTGAATGAGTGCGGGTTTTATAAACCTTTGAAAGAAAAGAGATCAAACCAAATAAATAATAATATAACAAGGCCATAGAACTCCTTGCACTATGTCTACAATCACTACTTTTTTACTCAACTTTATAAATTTTTACTTATGTTTCAGTACACTTACTATACAATGTATCACAATCACTGCAATTACTAAACTTTACTGCACTTAACTCTTTTTTACTACTCTTTACTTTACTTAAGTACATTAACCTATACTTTACTACACTTTACTTTACTTTACTTTACTTTAGTATACTTAAGTACATTTTGCTTAACTTTACTACCCTTTACTACACTTTAGTGCACTTTACTCGTACTTTTCTGTACTTTATTTTTAATCAAATTAATTAGTGCATAATTTCAATCTAAATAGTTATAGGCCTCTTAAACATGTGGTCCATTAATACGTTGTAATCATACTTTCAAAAAACAAAAAATAAAATAAAAGATTTTGCAATCATTATAAAAATTTAAAAGAAAATGTTTAAAAACTTAACTAAAGGTTATAGAATTTAAAATATTATTTTTTTATTTTTTTATTATTCTATCATTTTAAACCATATTTAGCTGATGGAAAAGAAAGAGCTTACAAAAACATAAAGCACTAATGCTACTAAGGCAGAAATAGTTTCATTCATGTCAAAGAAATTTCTAATTGATACCTTTAGTTTGTAAGGAAATTTGTCAAAAATAAAATAAAAGTATAGTATAGAAAAATCGAAAAATTTAAAAAAAAATCTAAAATGTTGTGCTTTTGTTTTTAAAAATGAGTAATTTTAATTGAAAAAATTTTTAAAAAATTATGAAAAATTTTAATTCGAATTGACTCGAATTTGATTTTTTCACGTAAGCTTATATTAAAAAAACTAATGAGGACGATTTGTGTTAAGTTTAAATTTTTAAAAAAAGCTATAAATACAAGCTTCATATAAATTAGTTTCAATTTATTTGCATTTCGAAATTGAATGAAGGGACTGTAGAAAAACAATATTTTAAATTTATTTTGTAATAATATGTTGGCTTTTTATTTCAACAAGATTAACTTTCCAAAAAAAACTTTTTAAAAATATATATCAAAAGTGTTGATAACATTTAATTTTTTCTAAAACCAACAATATCAAAAACATTGATTCTCACTATTCTTTCGTTACTATTCTTCGTAATTAGGAAGGCATCCTTAATGTTGAAATATTTGAATTTAGTTCAATAGTTTTATTTTTTACATGAGAAAAGCTTCATTTATATTTACATTTTAAATATATTTTATATATAAAATTTCAAATAATAAGCGGTTCTTAAGTTGCGATAATATTGACTATTTATAAATAAATTGAATGGTAAAATAAACATTACTTCAAAATTAATTCAAAATCAACTTTAAACATTTTGGTTTTTAAAGTTTTAAACAGTTTTATGTTGCTGCACTTTCTATACTTTTACTACACTTGCTATACTCTCACTATACTGACTATACTTTTACAACACTTTACTACACTTAAACTACACTTGCTACACTTTTGCTACACTTTGCTACATTCTACTATGCTTTGGTTAACTTTGCTTCACTTTACAATATTTAACTATACTTTGCTCATGTTAACTTAATTTTGCGCAATAGTTTGTATACGTTACTGCACAATGCTCACTCACGGGTATACTATTTTGGGAGTTCTATGGCCTTGTAATATAATATAAAACAAACTTAAATAAATTTAATGAAATAAAGTGAGCTCTACTTAATCTTAAACTTTATCTTTATTTCCTTCTTTAATATACTTATTTCTGGGTTTTAAAAATATATTTTGATTCTTGATCCATGCACGCCATTGTTGCTGATGAAGAAATTTTCCGATCCAAAAACTTGTCATTCAAAAAGATTTGTTCAAAAGTCATTGATTAATATTGATCTTGAATGTTTTTGATGATGAATTGCTTTTGATTTTAATCCTCCTTGTTGTAAATTTATGTTGAAAAAATTTCTTGAATAATTGTAAAATTATTACATACAATCTATGCTGCATGAAACCTGAGTAAATTCTTCAAAATATAAGGATAGAGTGAAAATGAAGTTAAGAAAATTAATCAAGCTCATTTTTGCTGTTATCGGAAGCATCCCAACGCTGGATCGATAGCATGGCTTAAAGTTTTTTATGCAAATATTTAAACACCATCCAAAAATTTTTTTTCTAAATTTCATACAAACGAATTAATACATTAGTGCAAGAGACAACAAATTCTCAGAAATTTCAACTTTCATGGATTTTAATTTAGAGAATTTTGTGTATATTTCAATAGATATTTTCTTGCAAATTATTACCGGAAATTTTTATATTCACACCGTTTTCACGTGTGAATCTATTGGTTTTGTTCAGATTGAAAAATCAGTTTTTCGCATTTTGTGAGAAAACAAAGCAAAATTGGTTGTAAAAGGTCACAGAAGAAAAGTTTGTGCCTGAAATTTTACATCATTTTCCAAAAACAGATTTCAAATTGGTTGTGGCATTGCTGAGAAAATCGCAAAATACGCTTTCTGTAAGCAAACAAGCAAGCAAGCAAGCAAGCAAGTTAATCAGCAAGAAATCTCAATAACGAGACATTGTAGAGACTTCTAGTTTTTTACATTTGATCCGTGCTGCTCTATAGAAGAGCTGTATTGTTTTTGGGCAAGGTAGGAACAGCCGTTGCTTCAGAAAAAGCAAAATACTTTCCTTTCTTACGAATTTTTCAAACTAAAAGTTCACTGTGATTTTTTTTTTATTTTAAATTAAACTTTGGATGAAAAAAATTTTTTTGAGCAAAGAACCAAGTAGGAAATACATTTTCAATTATGAACTTGGGACAGGTCTAGTCAAAATCTAGTTTTTCACTTTTTTTCTTCGAAGGTTTATCCAATTACAGTGAAAATTTGTGTAAGTATACTAATATTTATACAAAACAGTTTTAAATATCTAAAGCAAGAAATGTATTCTATATGTCGTCAGACCCAAAATTTATAAATTTGGTTGTACATTCACAAACAACGTGACTTAAAATTTTGTCCAATAAAATGATTTTTATCAATTCAGAAATGTGTGACCTGAAGATTAGAATGCTCATACAAAGTTTTACTGTATTTGGATTTATCCTCGAAGAAAAAAGTGAAAAACTAGATTTTGACTGGACCTGTCCCAAGTTCATAATTGAAAATGTATTTCCTACTTGGTTCTTTGCTCAAAAAAATTTAGGATGTTTTATTTGTATTTGTTTTAAGCACTAGAATATTTATGCAAAGTTTCAATCCATTTGGATAAACCCTCGAAGAAAAAAGTGACAAAATTGATTTTGACTAGGGTCGCCCCTAATCCAAAATTGAAAATGTATTTCCTACTTAGTTCTTTGCTCAAAAAAATTTTAGGATGTTTTATTTGTATTTGTTTTAAGCACTAAAATATTTATGCAAAGTTTCAATCCATTTGGATAAACCCTCGAAGAAAAAAGTGACAAAATTGATTTTGACGAGGGTCGCCCCTAGTCCAAAATTGAAAATGTATTTCCTACTTGGTTCTTTGCTCGAAAAAATTTTAAGATGTTTTATTTGTATTTGTTTTAAGCATTAGAATATTTATGCAAAGTTTCAATACATTTGAATAAACCCTCGAAGAAAAAAGTGACAAAATTGATTTTGACTAGGGTCGCCCCTAGTCCAAAATTGA